AAGTGCCTCCACCAGGAATCCTGACAGCACACTCGACAAGGGTGCAAGCGTTGTCATTGGCCTTCCTGGCGCAGGTGCCAATCCAGGAGATCTGTAGGGCCGCTGCCTGGTCTTCTGTCCACACGTTTACATCTCATTATGCACTTACCCAGCAAACTCGAGACGATGCTGGCTTTGGCAGAGCAGTCTGCAATCGGCATGACCGTGAACTCCAAGTCCACCACCATGGACACTGCTTGTGAGTCATCTAGAATGGAATTGACATGAGCAAGCACTCAAAGAAGAAAAAACAGTTACCTACCTTTTCATAACTGTTGTTCTTTGAGATGTGTTGCTCATGTCCATTCCCATTACCCGCCTTCCTGCCCTTCTGTCGGAGTTGCCGGTAAGAAGGAACTGAGAGGGCGTAGGGCTGGCGGTGCCTGATACACCGACGCATGAGCGCAGCACTCAAGGGGGCACCACATCCAACCCTACGGATACTGCTAAGGCAAAAATCTCCGACGACCGCGCACGTGGGCGCGTGCACCCCTAGAATGGAATGGACATGAGCATGGTTCAGATCTTGAAGAGCAACTGTTACGAAGAAGTAGGTAACCATTTTTTCTCTCTGAACATCGGGAACAGTTCCAGACTATTAGAGCAGAGGGTTAGTTCTTAGCAAGGATATCATTGTAAGCCTCCCTAGATGGAGCACACATGGCAGTTTGTTGCATCTCTGCTGCTATCGTCATCCATCAAGAATCTTGGCTGCAACTGTTGGGATTTCCTAGGGAGGTCCAAAGTACCAGAGAAGACCTTTCTTTTCGTGGATTGAAACTTTTCAGTGTATCCACTGGTGAATCCTTGCACACCTTGAAAGATTCCAGGGCCACACTCGGGTCTCTTGATATATGTAAACCTGCAAGTAAAAGAAAATTTAGTAGGTATGAAATGGCAGAGCGGTCCCATCCAGTCCAATTCTCTGGCTTTCATAGACCTGCCAAACCACTTGAAGGAGACCTTCCACCACGACCACTGCCACCACACAGGCCGCCACCTCATTGAAATGTCAATTTTGAGGGTTTGGTTGAGGGTCCAGAATGCCTCCACCTCAGGGATCTTCAGCTGTACTACACTACTCACCCTCTTCCCTTGGGAGACACTCTTTCCCATTTTTGAAGTGCATGGGAGAAAATTGCATTTGATAAATAAGTTTTGGAGGTTATAACATTTGGTTACTCCATCCATTTCATCCGCATCCTACCCCTCACCCCATCCACTCAGGGACTCTTCTCACAAACATTTGCTGAGATAGGAAATCATCTCCATTCTATCTAGTGGGGCCATAGACCCAGTTCTAGTTCAGCACAAATGGAAGGGATTTTATTCCAAGTAATGTAGTGGTTGGTTCAAAAAAGAACGGAGACCAAAATTATATTTCAGAGTTCTGAATACCTTCATGAAACACAGAAATTCAGGATGGCAACTCTCTTTGCTGTAATTCCATCATCAGGTTCTGGGAATTGGTTTGTGGCCCTCTACCTTCAGGATGCATACTTTCATGTCTCCATTCACTCCCTTGCAAGAGGTTTTTTCATTTCAGAGTTGGCCAGGATCACATCCAATATCAAGTGCTCCCCTTTGTACTGTCATCTGCTCCAAGATTTTTCTCCAAAGTCCTGGCGGTAGTAGCTGCTCGCTTTCATCTGTGGAGAATAATAGTCTTCCCCTACCTTGACGATTGGCTCTTCAAGGGCCAACCATATATTGAAGTCTTCTCTGCAGTACAGACAGCCGTGAGCCTATTCTACAATTAAGGATTTCAACTCAACATCAAAAAATCCATTTGACTCCAGTTCAATAGGTAAACTTCATAGGAGCTTCTCTGGATGCCCTAGCGTCCAGAGCTTACCTTCTTGCACACAAATTTATTACACTGACAAGCCTTGTTGTCAAGATACAAATAAGCCCCCAGTCAATGGCAAGAAATTGCCTTCAACTTGTTGGTGATATGGCAGCTTGTAATTTTGTAACACAACATGCCACAACAACTTCACTGGTTCCAGGGGTGGCTCAGAACAGTCTGTATCCCAATCAAGCTGGTGCCTGTCCATCAGGCGCTAGACTTGCTCAGTAGGTGGAAGAACCCATTCAGAGTCTGTACTGGAGTTCCTTTCACCCACCCTCTTCTACTATCACCATAACTTTTAGATGCATCACTTGTGCAAAGGGACAAACACCTGGGGGGGACACTGTCCAAGGCAGATAGTTGCCTCAAGAGTGTCTCCTACAGATCAACCTCCTAGAATTACAAGCAGTCTGGAACATCTGTATCCACTTCCTTTCCTTAATCAGGGGCCAGTCCATCAAAGTCATGACAGATAATATAATCTGTACATTCTATATAAATTGTCAGTGAGGGATGATTGTGCTGAAGCAATAAAGCTGTGGAACTGGTTTATAGCCAATCACACCCTCATTTCAGCCTCTTATCTTCCAGGCATTGCAAAACACCATGGCTGATGATCTGAGCAGATGTTTCTTCCAAGATTACGAGTGGGAACTGGACTCTTGGATTCTCAGTTTTTTTCCAGGTTTCTGAAAGTAGACCTCTTTGCAACGCCTGCCAACAGAAAGTGCAAGAAAATTGTGCTTGAGAGGACTGGGTTATCAATCCTTGGGAACACCTTTCTCATTCCTTGCAGGAGAGGTATTCTCTATCTCTTCTAACATCGTTGATTCTGAGGGTGTTAAACAAGACAAAGATGGAGTCATTCTAATTTCACCAACTTGGCTGAGGCAGGTCTGGCACACTTACCTGATTTACTTTGCCTCCTGTCCAGCATTGAAACTTCCAACCACTTCCCATCTGCTGTCTCAGAACGCTGGTTGGACTCTCCATTCCAACCTGGCCATCCTCTGACTCAACGCTTGATTCTCAGAGAGAGAGAGATTTCCTGTTTGACAGGTCCTATTGAACAGCAGAAAGATCTCTACTAGAGATAATTACTTTCAACAATGGAAGAAATTTTACCATTGGTGTATCCAGCAACTCTTGATCTCTTCATTCTTCTCTTTCCACTGTTCTTGATTACTGATTGGATTTAAAGAAGTCAGGTCTTTCTGATGAGTTCTATCAGAGTTCATTTGTCAGCTTTTGTTGCCTTTTAGTCCCCAGGGGTTTTCAGTCTTTGCTCATCCCACAACAGCAAGATTCATGAGGTGATTGCTTAAACTTTTTCCCCATATCAGAGAGCCTGTGTCCGTATGGGATTTGAACTTGATCCTTAATTGTCTTCTGAAACTTCCTTTTCAGCCACTAGCTGTGTTCTCTGCTGAACTTATCTATGAGAATGGCATATTAGTGGCCATCACTTTTGCTTGCAGAGTCAGAAAATTAGGCGTAATGATGGCTGATCCCTCTCCATCCCATCTTATTTTTTTTTTCAAGGATAAGGTACCATTACGCCCACATTCTAAAATATCCCCCAATTTCCACATTAACTAAATTCTTGATCTTTCTGTGTTTTGTCCCAAAGCCACATTAGACTAGTGAAGAAGTTGCCTTGCATACCTTGGATGTTAGAAGGGAGTAGCCTTCTATTTGGACAGATCAGACCATTTAGAAAGTCTACAAGACTCTTTCAGTTGCAGACAGAACTAAAGGATTCACAATCTCCACCCAAAGATTTTCAAAGTGGGTTTCCAGTTGTGCTCCTGTTTGTTACCAGGCTGCTAATGTTCAGCCCCCTTTGAGAATAAAAGCCCATTCTACGAGATCCCAAACTAGCTCCATAGTACTATTAAAAATGTATCAATTGCTGAAATTTGCCAAATGGCAACCTGGGTATCAGTGAACACTTTTTCCAAACACAATATCCTGATATATGCCTCTAGATCAGAAGCTGCTATTGGCACAATAGTCCTTTCTTTATTGTTGGATCCAGCTCCAAAGCTCTCTCCTCCTCCAAGGGATACTCTTGGATGCCTGAAGTGATACTACCGATAAGGACACTACTCGAAGAAGTAGTCATTACTCACATTGTGCAATAATCAGAGTTCTTTGAGAGGTGTCTCTCTAGTTGTGCTCCACTACCCACCCTCCTTCCCCTCTACTTCAGAGTTTTGTCTCGCGGGGACCTTGTGGTAGAGAAGGAACTGAGAGTGGTTTGCTCATGCAGCTCCATATATCCTTAGTATAGGGCATGAGGGTGTCTGGAGTGTATTTGCAGGCCAAACGGGCAGTATTACTGAAAATCTCTGATCAAAGGCACAGGTGCCGCTGAAGTGGAGCACCCATAGGGGAACGCATCTCCAAGATCTCCAGTTACTGCATGAGGTGAGTAACCTCTCCTTTCCTTGCACCAAATGTGGAATTTTTCACCGAAGAACCAGAATGGGCAGTGTTCTGTTGATAGGCAGTGACAGGTTTAAAGTCTGATGTTCACAACCTATAAGAGCTAGCAATGGGAGTTTTATATCATTATAAAGGAGAGATTCTCCATTTTCTGAAGAAGCTCATCATTTGCTTTTAATTGGGAATCTTCTCTTTCCAATGGCTATAGTAATCTTAAATGTTTTCTGACAATAGTAGGTAAAGTTGTCAGACACAAGTGTGATTGTGTCCCTTTAATATTACCTTTTTCAAAAGGAATTGCATAATGAAGAGTTTGTCTTTTGAAATGCTTTTTTAGTTTATGGACAGAGTTATTTGTATATAGGAGAAAGACAGTGGTAAGAGAGAATTAAAGGAAATACTTAGCCGTCAAAAAGAGTGTTTTGTATCCAGGTGCGAACTTTGATGTCCATCCTTCAGATGTAATTTGAGGAGATCTAATTAAGAGGATAGTAGAAATGGCATGCCCTTTTGCTTTGCAAAACCTATATAAACAGATCCTGTTGTGAGCAGCAGGACAAAGAATCTTAACAAGGGAAGTAGTGAAGTAAAGGAGCATAAATTGGAACAAGTAACCCCTATTAAAGCTTGCATAAATGTTTATTTACTGTGTTTTATATAGCTACCAAGGTTTTTCCAGCTCTGTTCTGATAATGTTTGGGGAGTTCGGAAGGCTTGTGCAGAATGCTTCATGGCAGTTTCATGTGCAACATCCCAGGAGGTCCGGCGGACAAAACTGTCAACGCTTTTTATCAATCTGATCAGTGACCCGTCACGATGGGTAAGAGTTTTGTTTTATTTATCAAATAACTATTTTTCTGTTCGCTTTTTCTTTGATACCCCATGTTAATTTTTTAGAGATAAATATCTTCTTCATGTGCATGATTTTGTCAAGTAATTATGTATAATGGTGGTTTTGCTGACTGGAGGAATGCTGTTCTACATTATTCTGGTAAAATGTACTGGACCCTTCCATTGAGAAAAGGTATGTGGAGTTGCAGGCTTCCCTGCTATTCAGTGTTGCCAAAAGTCTGCTTATCACGAGGAATATCAGAAAATTGCAGATGTAATTAAATTGAATATATTGAGATTTTTTTCTCCGTACTTCACATTCTCTCCTCTCCCCCCTTGAAAATCCATCCTTCAAATCTGTGTTAGGGTTGTCAACAGGGGGCTCCTTCTCAGAGCCAAAAGGAAGCCTTAGTGCCCCGGAGCACCAGCTCTTTGGCTCTGAGAAGGCATGTGAGCCATAATCAGGTACAATGAAAGAAGTAATAGAAATGGAGGTGAGAGAGGCTCACCAGAAGTAAATGGAATTCAAGCCTGTGGTTCTTATTGAATCAACTTAAATTCCTGACAGTGTAAAATATGGTGTTTCCACTAAACCAGCTTTACAGTCGCTTGGATCCTCCACTTGGTTGGCGTTCAGACTTACTCACTTTAAACATTGAAATAGTGTGGGAGGGTGAAGCATGCTGTCAACCACAGTCAATGTGAAGATGTATATAATGGTCTGTGAATTGACCACTTTGTCTGCCTCCTCTATTTCATGTCTCACCCCAATCTTCCCCTGCTCAAGGCTTTTTGCCTGGCACTTTCCCATATCCAGCTTGTTGGCACTGTTCCCAGATGCAAGTCTCTCCTGTCACTTTCCCCAGTGCCCTTACAACTCTTCCCATTCCTAACAGCTGGTGGTGTATTTATACAACAGCTGTATTTAAATTATTTTCTCTGGAACCCATTACTCTAGGTCCGCCAAGCTGCCTTTCAGTCCCTGGGGCCTTTCATATCAACTTTTGCTAACCCATCCAGCAGTGGTCATTTTTTTAAAGAAGAAGAAAGTAAGAACACAGAGGATCATAGATCTGCAGAGGAAGATAGGTATGAATTTTCTTGGTTTTGTAGTTTTCATTTGCATATAGATATTGCTGCTTAGGAGACTTTAATTTTTCTTTTAATTTGATACCCACATTGGTAGTGAAGACACCAGAACTTTTGCCAAAAATTGGCCAATGGAACCCTCTTTAGCTAAGTTGTTGTTCAGTTATTTAGGGTACTTCACTTAGGTCAGCTATCCAGTAAGTAAAACTAATTCTATAAATACTAAAATAAGAACGTGACTATAAACTTTCATAAGTGTCTAAATTTATAACCAGTATGTTGGGTTTTTTTAAAACTTATGCCTATTTTCTTTGACACCCAACAGTGAAAAGATCAGGGATACAGAAGATGTCACAACAGAGGATGTACATAGCAGGACAGAGAAGCCGCCTTCAGATGCTGATTTTAGTGATTTTACAATAAAACTTGAAAACACCATGGAAGACCATAACCCTGTGCCAAGTAATTCTCAGAGTGAAACTGATTACCAGACTGAGACATTCTTATGTTGCACTTTGTCTTCAGAATCTTGTGGGGAAATAGCTGATGAGAATGATCAAAGTTCTAACTTCTGTAGTATAGCAACACTGCAGGAATCTGGGTTGAGGTCCCAGGAAACCTCCCTCTCAGAACAGGAATTGTACAACTCTTTCCATTTCTGGAGGACTCCGCTTCCTGAAATAGATATTGATTTAGAGCTTCAGCAAACTGATCAGATAATGTCCAACCCAGAAATTCGGGAAGGAACAAAAGACGTGACGGTACCAGTGTTTTCAAACATTACTATGGCCACGAGGAAGGAGCTGGAAGAAATGATAGAAAATCTGGAGCCTCATGTTGATGATCCAGATGTTAAAGGTATAGTGAAGATATTTGTGTATAGTTAGTGTCTGGAAATGTTTTTGTGTAATAATTAATGTTTTGCTGTGGAGGTTTTCATTTTTAACCTTTTGAATGAAGCTTTTTAAAAAAATTCAGAAGAATTAATGCTTTTGGAGTTTAACAAAATTGGTTCTAGCTGTTTTAATTTAACTGTGAAAAAGGATGACAAACCAAAACATTCTTATTTTTGAAAAGCAGCCTCTGATTGTACAGATGCAGTTCTGCTCCCATTGTTTATTGCGAGTGCATAACTGCAGGTACAATAATTGCACCTGTAATTCTTAGTACTTGGATATCTAACTACTTGATTTGTCAATATAATCAGGCTGTCACCTGAGTGCTGCGAATCATTGTGCTCAGTGTTGCATATGCAGTTGTTATGTGCAAAATAGGAAGCCAGATTGAGGCCCTTTTGAAAAATCAAGGCCTGAATGTAACAATGTTTTCACCTTCTGAACAATCAAGTTTATTTTTTAAGGAAATAGCCTTACGGTATCCATGTTTCCAGAACCTCTTCTATAGCAACTTTCATTGCCTGCTGATCTGCGCCAGGATTATGGTCAGGGCAAGGTTAGAAGTGACCCAAATCCTGTCCAACTCTTAAATGCACACACATCTTGTGAGATTGAAGTGTAATGAATGTGCTGTCCCCTACCTTCTTTTTAATAATCTGCTGCCCTTTATGTGGCTTCACAGATTTGTTGGGATTGCTGCAATGCAGAAGTCTTAAAGCATGCCAAATTCAAAAAGGGCAGCAGCAAATCTGGCACTGTGGCTTGGAAAGTGGCCATGGAGATTGGAGTATTCTTGATCAAAAGAATCCTGTAGGCTAGAAGAGCACACTCTTAAAGGAGGGAAGAAAAGAGGGGTGGGAAACGCCTGTCAGAATAAGCAGCCATGCTTGGATGCTTTCCTGAAACTTTGGTTTTTCTCCTATCACTAATTACACAGGATACACACTGATAGCCTAACTTTAATTAGACTTGGCCTGTTCCTGTTTAATCTACTGTAAAATCAGCAGATGAAAATGTTCTGCTTTGAGAAAACTCTAGCCCATTGCTCTGTAAGGGGTGGATGAGAAGGATGGGGTCTAGAAAAATGTACTAGTTCAGTTACTGGTGAGAAGCACATTATTTAAACTTCTCTCTTAATAAGCACATTAGCCAGTGCTGTTTAGGTTTGACTCTAGAGACTTGTTCTACACAGCTACAAAATGTATATTAAACTGTTTCATGAGGATCTACCTAGCTAATGCATTTGTATACTCAGAGGTGCTCGGTATTACAAGATTGTTTCTGAATCTGTGCTTTGAAGTTGGCTGGTCTCATTCCAGAGCAATTGTCTTGCTGCACTTTAGGATGGTTTCAGTGTAAAGAAGCTCACAGGTGCAGTTCTGTGTGTGTGTCTGTCTGTCTGATCCAAGAAAACTACATGAAAGGAAATCTAAAGATGCAAAATCCAAATACTCAGAAGTTAGGAAATGCCTGAACTAGGGTGCCTGTGCAGTAACAGTTTGACCCCCTTGTTCATATGCATTCTGATACAGTCGTTAGTTATGTGATCACATACTATTTTTTTCATACAGTTCCCCTGCCTCAATCAGGCGATGGGTAGTTACTCAATATTTCTTTTTATTCCCCTCATTAAATGTATGGCCTTAGAGCTTATTGAATGCACGCCATCTAAATCCTGCACTGAATACAAAATTATTAATTTTATAAAAAGAAAAAGAGTTCTTGTGGCACCTTAGAGACTAACCAATTTATTTGAGCATGAGCTTTCGTGAGCTACAGCTCACTTCATCAGAAAGCTCATGCTCAAATAAATTGGTTAGTCTCTAAGGTGCCACAAGAACTCCTTTTCTTTTTGCGAATACAGACTAACACGGCTGTTCCTCTGAAACCTGTCATTAATTTTATAGTCACTTTCACTATCTTAAAAGAGTGTTTTACAAATAAAACAAATGAATTTATCTTCACAACACGCGTGTAAGAGTGGGTAATATTACTTTCCCCATTTTACAGATGCGGAATTGAGACAGAGAGAGATTAAGGCCAAAATTATCAAAAGTGTCCACTAATTTCAGATGCCCAATTTGAGACACCTGATTTTCCGGAATATTTTGCATTCTCTATGTTCACAGCACAGCGCCAGCCAATTTGAGTCAATGCTCAGCACATCTGCAAAGGAGGTTTTTCACTTTGGGCACCCAGAAAACTAGGAAGATGCTATTTTAGTGGCCACCTATGAAAAGTGAGGTTTAAGTGACTTGCCCAGCGTCACACAGGAACTCTGTACCAGAGACAGGGATAGAATTCAGTACTCCAAGGTGGAATTCAGTTTCTTTAATTGTGACCTGCAGTCCCCTGCTATATCAGACACCTTCCAACTTCTGCAACAAATGAGCCAGGGATTTTATAGACAACAGCCTTATTAACTACCCAGCCCTTATTCGTTCCAGAGCACTGTCTTCCTGTGCATGGAGAGGGGCAAGGGTTATGTGGAAAACCAGTATGTTTCAGGAAATTAAAGACTATATAATAACACAGTGATTCCCAAACTTCTTATTAAGGTGACCCACTAAGTGCATTTTGCCTTTTTTTTTTTTTTTTTTGTGACCCACCCAGGCTCCAAAACATGGGGAGGGCCCCAAAATCATAGGCCAGCATCCTTCTCTTCTGCTGCTGTCGCCTCCACCTTGCCCTTCTGAAGGGACACTGACCACCTGCAGCAGCCCCTCCACCCTAGCACTGCAACCCTATCCTGGCTTGGTGTGGAGGAGAGGCCCAGAGGGGTGGTCAGTTGGAGAGAGAGCGCTCACCTCGCAGTGGCTGGACTAAACCTGAGTGGTGCCAGGTCCCAACTTCTGGAGTGGGGAGCCAGGTCCAGCACTGCAGGACGGGAGCCACTGCTGCGAGGTGAGTGTGGGGTAAGTGGAGGCTAAGCTCTCCTTCCACCTCCATACCCCTGGGGTCACCCATCTAGAACCTTTACATGACCCATTGGTCATACACATACACACATGGGGGCCAAATTAAGATTTCACAGGCAACCCAGCTTTAATGTTTTTTAATGTAGTTTTATAGGAAATTTCCTAATTGGGGGGGGAAAAAAGTGAAAAGAAATTCTAAGACATGGAACCATATTGACGCACAACTTAAGTATCAGCAGGGTTCAGACCTTTGGACTACAGCATGGTCCTAGAGCACTCTACCTCACAGAGTAGCTGGCAGTAGTAGACTGTTACCCTCTATTGGACCAGCCAAGAGAGGGGGATGAGAAACTCACTTTGCCAGTAGGTTTCACAGCTATTCACTAATAGCAGAGGAATGTAGAAATGCAGGACACCTGATTTCAATTCCAGTTTCTATAGGGGAATGTTGTCTAGAGGTTACAGACCATTCTGTTCCTGTGCCCCCAGCTTGTCACTGTCCCCCTCTGCATCTGTGTACCTCCTAACTCCCTCTCAATTGACTCTTGTCTCCCTCCCCTCTGGGTCCTGCAAACACTCCCGCCCCTTCTTCGCCCCTTTGCATTCCAGTATGATTGCTTCCTCCTTCTCCATACACTTGGGTGCCAGCATCAGTAGTACAGGAGAGAGAATCTCCTGCTCTCAATTCCTGTGCTTGGTGCCGCAGCAGCCCGGAGGAGCAATTGTAAGGGAAGTCCTGCTCAACCCCTGCAGCCATGAGCATGCTCAGTGCAAACAGAATCTTCAGAGAACTTAGCTGCCAAACAAGCCTCTTTTGAGCATGTGCGAACTGCAATTTTTCAGAGGCTTATAACTTGGCTAAATTTGGGCAAATTTTCATGGGGACAGCAAAAGGCATATACCTGTCAACAAACCAGTCACCCTGCCAAATTACAAGTCCCTGCTCCAAAGCATGGAGGAATTAGAGTTTCTCAACACAATAGTTATAAGAATTTTTTTAAAATATGGGTAAAAGAACATTTTCTCATAATCTCATTCTCAGAAATGTCGGAATCATTTCAGCTGAAACTTACCCAAAACTTCAGTTTGAAGCAGATACCTGACATGGAAAATTTCAGCCCCCAATGAATAGTTTGGCAAAACCCCAGGCAACAGAACATAGGGGCTTATAATGGAAAATATCTGTCAACCTTAAGTATGTGTGTCTCTACTAGATCCACCTATAATAAATATCAGTTAAAGTTGGGAAAAAACTCTTGTTTGTGTGTTATCATTAGAGCAGCCTCAAAAGAATTTGAAATTCCTAATAGGTGTTTCGGGATAGATTTTTTTCTTTTTTTTTAATACAGTACCTGCACCATTATAGCACTTAAAATAATCACAGGAGCATTTTTTTGTCTGCTAATAATGGGTGAACACTAAGGAAAGAAACAGAAAGCAAAAGAGTGAAAACAAGAGAAGCAGAAAAGAGAAACTGCAGAAAATAAAGAGGGAAGATGTGCTGCCATGTAGACGAATTTTTTTCTTCTGAGTTATTTATGTATTTTTCTGTAAACACACAAATTTGAAGTGTCGTGCATCTATATACATTATCTATTTAGAAAAAGACCCTTAATCTTCCTTTAATTTTAACTGAAAACGAAAGGCCTATATTTTGATGTTGGTTCTGGTTGTGGGGGAGGAGAGGAAAGATAAGTTCTTTTAAATGTGCATTGGGATAAAGTTCAGTTGAATTATTTCTTCAGTTTTTTTGCCTCACAAGAATTAACTCTCCTGAAAATCTGGAATAACATTTCATGCCTAAATAGTCTGATAAGAGCTAGTAATCGCTTTCCCTTTTTAATTTATAGTAGAAACTCATTCATTTTGTTTATCCATATATCTGTTGTTTGTGCATTTAAAAAAAACGGGGGTCTTTCCCTCACTTCTCAGTAAAGAAGAAACAACTGAATACTACTGTGAGGTCTCTAATTATCAAATTCTCATTAATTTTACAAAGTTTACTGTAGATAACTTAATAGTGTTATATGAAATATGGTATTAATTAAAACTAAATTATACTTTCTAATGAACCTGATGCATTTCATGTACAGTATTAGTACTTTTTTGTTTACTTAGTAATTTGTAGTGGGCTTCCTTGTCAGTATGGATTACTACAATCCTACTGTAACTGTTTTCTTTCAAGTATTTTATTACATGCTTGTCAGTTACAGAACTGGCTAGGCTACATAATGACCAAATCCTTACTCATTTGCTCCTGCTGTTCTTACCCCCATCTAGAGACCATCCCAGAGATATAAGACCACAGTTCATGTTTGACCTTCACATGTGATGTTACTTACCTGTCCCACACCATTGTGTGTGTCTCAGTTGTCTAGCTGTGTATTTAGTGTTTAATATTGTTCTGAGTTGTAATTCTGCTTTATGTAACAGTCCGTCATAATTGTAAAAAAAGGTTAGGTGTGCCATACAAATTAATCTGGCTTTTGATAAATTCTGGTGGCCTTATGTGAGTAAATTTATGTGCAAGGATAAATGAGACAAAATTCCAAGATGGGAGGTAGAGTGAGGCGGATGATAAAAACAGATGCAATTGTTTAATTTCAGAATGTGTACACAGTATTGGAGAGGCCTTGAAAAAAGGGTAGTAGAGTTTTAGCTCAAGCAAGTGTGCTGATTTGGACTGGAGAGCCACTTGCTCCTTCCCTGGAAGGGAGGGAAGAGGAGAGGAAGAGAGCAGCCCAATCACTGCTGCTTTGACAGGAGCAGAGAAGTGGGTGTGGAAGGCAAAGTAGAGCAATCCCTGAGCCGCTTGTTCCTTTCCAGGAAGGGAAGGTGATAGGCAGAGAGCAGAAAGGCAGGTGCTGCTGCTCTTTGAGGAAGGAAAGGAGAGAAGCAGGGAAACACCAGATAGTACTGGCTTCATGTCAAGAGAAGGGGAATGAGGAGCCAAGTGGACTATACGGAGAAGAGTTGCTGGGAGGCCAAGCATCTTCTGTGTGTCCTGCAGTCCTAGAGTGTCTGTGCAAAGAAATAGAGGGCCCAGTAGTTTCTTTGGAGTAGAAGTTGTAATTCCCTTCATTTGGAGTAGAAGTAGAGCCCGGAATTCATCAATAAGATTGGGGAGGTATGAGAGAGAGAGAGAGAGAGACAGACAGACAGAATTAATTAATTTGTGGTGGGGAGACTAGTGGCAAGAAGGGCCAGGTGGAGTGAAATTTCATATTTCATTTTTATCTGTTTTCAGAGCTTGATCAAAAATTTCTAAGTCCTGACTGAGACTTACAATTGTCACTGAATAACCTACTCTCTCTCATGCTGCGTCTGCATTTCCAGAAGAGTTGCTTTGTTCAGAATTAGTTCAGCATAATGGGACCAGTCAACCTTCTAGCAATTTGCAGCGTGGGAGCATCTGAATGTGTATTTTCCAGGACCCCAGACCTACCGTTATATTCTCAGTTGGAAGATTTAGCAGTCCTGCTCTCCACTTAGATTTACAGGGATGCAGCTAACTGCACTTTTGCAACTCATTCATTTAGTCCCCAAAAATATGTTCCGCTGATCTCATAAAATTTAAAAGTACAACTTTTTAAATCAGTCAATAATAGTTTAAAAACTAAAGTCAAACCTATTCCCACCCTTTACTTTTCGTATTCTTTTAACTATAATTGCCAATAAACTGTTGTGTGTGTTCTGCCTGTTACAGAATGTGCACACATCTGTTTATTTACCTAACCTCAACATAAGTAGTTTGTCACATTTTTGTAAAAGATACTTCTATAAAGATACTGTTGCCTCCGCAGCCTCTCGTTCTTGGGTTTCCTGCCTCCTACACAGATACTCCCTTAGCTCCAGTGCTGTTTTGGCCTTCTGAGGCAATGGAAGCCAACATGAGACTCCCTCACTTACCATCCTCGCTGGTTTCCTCTATTGCGGGACTTACTAACCATTGATAATCTGAGTAGGAAACTTTCAGCTTCCCTCTTTGGCTAGTCCATAAATTAAAAGTTATTTTTCAAAGGTAGTTGCCATCAGCAATGTTGTTGCTGTGTAACCGTTCTTTCCACTTCCATTAACGTGTTTCACTTTGCATACAGCACAAGTGGAGGTGTTGTCTGCTGCACTCCGAGCCTCCAGTTTGGACCCTCAGGAAGAAACAGCAGGCATTGGCAAGGGAATGGACTCTCAAAATGAACTGAGCATCAAAGACCAACTGAATTATAAACTAATTCACGATGATACTGTGTCTTTAATTAGCGACACTGTTGAGGTAAGAGACATGGCTGTATTTGGCATACAAACAGTTTGATTCAGAAATAAAGGGCTACAGTCAGAGAGAGACCTGTATTTTGCACTCTTGCAGCAATCATAGCTAAACTGTTCCCACTTTAGGCTGAAATGATGCCAAGTTTTGTTTGCTAATTTTGCAGCTCTGCCTATTGCATAAAGTAAAGTTTATCCTCACAACGTTCTGTATTTGTACATCTGAATCATTTGAGGACTTGAAGTTAAACCTTCAGTTCTGAGTAATGGTCACTTTCAACAGACTGTGTTACTATAGTTTGCTGCAGTAAAATAGTCTTACTGGAAACAATGCCCTTCTTAAAATAAGTTAACTGTTCCTTTTTCTGTTTGGAGAGAGAGATACATTTTGTTTATGGTGGAAACATTTTACTGCAGCAGGCAACACACTTTTCTGACCAGGAGACAATCAGGACTTGAGGCCATGTTGTATGGGCCTCTGGCAATATCTGGTCTCTGGAGAATGAAGGTGGGTACTACCACTCAATATCATTTTGAGTTTTTACTTGTGGCTCTTCTTTCCGTTTTTTCCCCATCCAATCAAACAAAAGCATTTAGTACTGGTTTTCTGTTCTTCATTATGTGTTGTGGCAAAAATGTTGTGACTTCTCCACTCCACTTGGAGGCACAAGTGTGATGGTCTTTGAAACTCCAGTGCTATAGAAGAATAATAAAATCTTGATGCAACCCTCATGGATTGTTGCTTGCCAGTTGGCACTGCAAATAGTTTTCAGATTATACTCTGCTGCCATTAACCTGCTACAGTTGACAGCATTGCTCACTGTGTTGATAAGAAGCTCCTTACATACATTTGTATATGTGTAAAATCTGACTCTTTAAATTTGGATTGTCTGATGGAAGATGCACAGATTGCCCTCCTTCCAAAATCTTAGCGATACAACCATGACCTAGATATTGATGTACCCTGCAAGCTCTCTTTTATTATGAAGTTCGTATCTTTTTAAAGTGAAGTTACTTTTTGAAAAGTACCTAGGTAAAAATGGCACCTCTGTCAAAATAAGGGGGGATCTATCAGGTGTTCTTTGCCCCTGGCCTGAGGTATTGGTGCCCTGATACACCCTGCCTAGGGAAAACCCACTCAGGACTATGTACCAAGAAAACTTAATCCTCCAATGGTGTAAACTGGGCAGAAGGGGACACTAACCAATCAGGAGCCAGCAGGCAAGTTCAGAAGGTTTGCCTGCTTCTTCCCAGGGGGAGTGATGGGTGGAGCTAGGACAGGAGGGGAGTTCCTCTGTCCTAACCCCAGTGAGCCTTGCATTGCATCAGTGGCCAGACAGACTGGGGTTGACACCACCCCTTGTCTGAATGGACCATCACTAAGATGCGTAATCTCCTGGTGACTAATGTCTACTCCAAGACCATAAACCATACTTTCAATATAAATATATACATCTCTCAATGATTATGAATCTTGACAAGTTACAAGCTTTATGTAGATCCTTAAATGTTATTCTTTATGGATAAATATCCTGTAGGACATGTTTGGTGTAGTGAGTTTGTCAGGTCTGAGGTGAGCAATGTTTGCAAAGAGCAAGAGTCTCTTTGCCAAGGGGTCTCTGTGTCTCACCCACCTTATAGTAATTTCATCAAATACCATATTTCCATACTTTTGTTTATGAAAATGTCATGTCGGACTGTGTCAAAAGCCTTCCTAAAGTCAACCACTCGGTCAGTAACCTTGTCAAAGGAGGAAGTTAGGTTAGTTTGGCATGATTTGTTCTTGACAGATCCATGCTGGCTATTTCTTATAACTGTATTATTGTCTAGGTGCTTACAAATTGTTTAATAGTTTTTTCCAGTGTCTTTCCAGGTATTGAAGTTAGGATGACGGGTCTATACTTCCCCAGGTCCTCTTTGTTCCCCTTTTTAAAGATAGTTACTGTGTTTGCCCTTCTCCAGTCCTCTGGAACCGTACCCGTCCTTCATGAGTTCTCAAAGATAACTATTAATGGTTCTGAGTTGCTTAAGTACTCTAGGATGAATTTCATCAGACCCTGCTTACTTGAATACATCTAATTTGTGTAAATATTCTTTATCCTCTTCTTTCCCTATTTTAGTTCCTTCCCCTTTCTTGAGAGAACACCACGTGACAGGAGTCATTGCTTATTGCATTAATGGAAGGCACTCCAGATAATACGGTGGTGGGCAAGGTGTAAGAATCTGTGTAGAATAGAATATGATTTAATTATAGCCCCTCAAGCATCTTTATTATTTTGAATCTAAATAAATAAAAGTTGTCCAATAAGATTTTTCTGTTAATTTGGGCTACAGCAAGGATATGCTGAAAATAAAAATACATCTCTGGAATCTTGAAGAAATACCCACAATGTGAAGCAACCTTTCATGGTATTTAAATTCAGTGTGTGCGTGTAATCCTTGAATGTCCCATTTTGTAAGAGACCTTTTTCCCCCCCCCCATATGCAGAACATAGATTCCACTCTCCGCTATATTCATAATGATTCAGACTTGAGCACCGATAGTAGTTTCAGCCCTGAAGAGGAGAGAAAGTCCAAAGTACAGGTAAATGAGAATTTTTTTCCCCTTGTAATTCTGATTAAATTGAAACTTTATAGACAGGAGATGATGGAAGGTTCACCTTTAGTTATGTAGTCCATGGCCCACTTTGCTGTAGTTATTTTCAGAGGATGTGAAAGCCTCATTAGTAGGTCACTGTATAATCCAGCCTTGAGTTGCTGCAGTGACAGTGGTTATATTGGCAGTTTATTCTGCTGTAATGGACCATTCCAGTCTTTTTTAAAGGAAGTAGTGTAGCTTTGACGGAAGAGCTGTTAGTCAAGACTCCCAAGCTATTTATTTTATTTTTTCCTCTGTCACTGACTTGCTGTACAGCTTCAGTGACTTATTCACAGAGCCAGTTGAAAATTTTCCATTAAGACTGTTTTTCAGGGAAAAGCTGTTTTTTTAATTGAACAGAATTTTTCACAAAAAGTGTGTTGTCCATTGAAAACTTTGACTTTAGCAGAAAAAAAACAAATTTAGATTTGATACCAAATGAATTATTTTGGCTTAATTTGGTGTTAAACTATATCTTCCTGAACCACTGATGGGAGTTGTAGTGTGGGAATCTCATCCGTTCATACTTCTCTATGGGCTGGGTTCTGTCTCTCCCATGAAGCACTGCAGCAGTTCAGCAAGGGGGGAGAATGTGCTGCATCATGGGAGAAGTAGTTCCAGGCAAGGAGCCCAGCCCATAGGGAGAATCAGGGCATGAGGCACCCAAATGCCATTCCTATGAGGCACTTCAGCAGCTCAGGCAGGCACAGTTTAATATTGAACTGACCCAAAATGAAACATTTAAATTTAGTCTTCATTTTTTGCCATATGGTAAAAATTTTCTGCAAGGTGGGGAAAAACATGTACTGACAAGCATTAGTCACTTATTTTTATGTATTTTATGTATGCGTTAAACAGGCATAAAGTTTGCCAGTCTCACAGGATATTGAGTTTGTAATGTTTGTAAGAGTGTTGAGCAATGCTATAGAAGTCTAAGTTAAATGGTTGTTTCTTAAGTTTCAAACAATGCTCCTACTGTGTTTTGGTAGTGTGAAAGTGATCCATCTGTTCATCCTTGTTACTTCAGTCTGGGTATTTACAAGGACTAATCATACCTTCTCAGTTATTTTGTTTCTGTATTAATATTGCTTAAGTAACCTTAACATTTGCTTAAAATATCAACTTTAAACAACTAAAGTTAGTCTGATTTTTGTATATGGTACTTTTATGAATTATTATATTTACATTCTTAATCTTTAAGCATTTTTTGTCCTTTATTATGAGGTGAGAAAAATTCTCTCTCTCAATATGTAACCTAGTTTCATATAGTAGGTTGTATGGAAAATACCTGAAAATGTGGCAAACTAAGGCTTGCTCTCTCTCTAGGATGTTGTACCTCAAGCCTTGTTGGATCAATATTTATCCATGACTGATCCTTCTCGTGCACAAACGGTTGATACTGAGATTGCTAAACATTGTGCGTATAGCCTGCCAGGTGTGGCACTTACGTTAGGTAGACAGAACTGGCACTGTCTGAAAGACACCTATGAGACACTAGCATCTGATATGCAGGTATGTTAAAGCATTTAAACTCAATCAGCTTTGAAAACAAATTGTATATACACTTTTATAACTGTTTCTGTATAATGGGCATTTTTGAATTTATGGTTTTCATATCCTATCACTGGTGTTGGTAATTTAGTAGGTGATGCTCTTCCTCTGAGTAATAGTTTGACCAGTGTCCCAGAACAATGCTTGGGCACCATGTGAGGTGCTCAGATACTACGGTAATGGGGACTATATAAATACCTAGAATAGATGCATAAATGTTGCTGAGCCTGTCACCTTGTGGGTAGATGAGAAACCAGACGTCTTGATCACTTCAGGTTGCTACAGTTCTTGTGGCACTTTTAATGAGAATAGGGGTATCCACTTTGATGCACTGGCCAGTTCCTGAAAGTTAGTCATAAATGATTAACAGTATTGCAGTATCATTGGTGTATTAAAAACAAATGTTAAAATATTGGAAATGGCTGTTGCTTTCTTCTCTGTTCCTGTTTGCTGCTAAGGAAGCAGTTTTCAGTGTATGGATCATTTTATTTTGTTTTAATGTTTTTGTTTTGTTCTTGTTTTGTTTTATTTTTAATTTTCCACTCTTTCCTGTCTTTTTCAAAGACATGCTTCCTTTTTTAAGTAGTGATTCTTGATCCACTTCACCCTGATAAACTAATTCACTGATGTATCAGAGCAAAAACTCACTGACCTATATTGTTTGTTTATACGATACATTCCCAATTTTCCGATTGTTCAGATAATCAAGAGGGCTCTATTTTCCGAACCATCGCATTACCTGAATCCCTTCCTTGTCCCCAACATGAGATACATGCTGCAGAGAGCATATAGTTCATGTATCTCATAATGGGGGACAAGGAAGGGATTCAGGTAATGCAGAGCTTTGATAACAGGATTTTTAATAAACTGGAGAATATTGTATATAGTATCAGTCACATTTCCCAAAGTGCTTTACAGTAAGGTAAAAAAAATTAGCGCACACGTAATCAGTAAAGAAACTAAAAAAAAATAAATAAATATTGCTAAGTTTGCAGTTTGTTTAAAATTACTTTGACAGTCTGCCACAAGAATAATGTGGGAGAAAACTGCATCACTAAAATAGGATTAAGTCTGCAAAGATCTCATTTGGTAGTTGGAAAGTGCTGGTCAGAGGGGGAAAGTAAGGTTAAATAACAATACTTATTTTTTATATAATTGAAAATACATTATCCATTTGAACAATGTGTCATGTTCCCTCCCTCTTCTCTTCTCTCCCCCCCCCCCCCCCCCCCCCCCACAAAAAAAAAAAAAGACCACATAGAAACTAAAAGGACCTAACACCTCTTAATTGGACCAGTGCTTGTGCCAAGACGTTTCTTGGAACAAAATATTTGATACTGTGTGTGGATGTCAGATGCTGGCTTCCCTGAGAGGGAAAGTCTCATGTGACTCTCTTAGATTTACAGTTTCCAATCAAAGTATATCAGAGTACCTTCTTTCTTCTTCTGCTTTGTAAAGTACAGATTACAGAAGCCAGAGAGGAACAAGAACTATAACATTCAATATGCATAAGAAAAAATTGAAGCAAGAAGAGAACTGCAAAAGTGTTGATATCCAACATAATTTTTGTTTTGCTTCTGCTAATTAAGAACACAATAATTTTGTTACTTGTTAAGTTCCTGGATATGCAGATGGAACAAATGATCCTTGAACAATCCCATTCATGTCTTGTTTTTCGCTTTTGAAAAAAATGAGTTCTGTTTTACTGAAAGAAATGAGTGAATTAAGTGGTTGTACTGAGGATTGCAATATTAATGTTGAACAATATAAGAAAACTAATCCTAATGTTAAAACTGTTGTTTGGGGATAATTTATTAATAAATGCATTTGTATTTTTTTTGCAGTGGAAAGTTCGAAGGACATTAGCATTCTCTATACATGAGCTTGCAGTTATCCTGGGAGATCAACTCACAGCTGGAGACTTGGTTCCAGTCTTCAATGGATTTTTAAAGGATCTAGATGAAGTCAGGATAGGTGTCCTTAAACACTTGCATGATTTTCTAAAGGTACATTTCATGTTTATTTCACTTTGAACCATAATATATTATGCCTATCATCCACTTGTTTTCCCTGTGTCCATAGATTTCACTAGTATAATCCCTTACAGTAGTCCAGCCAAATGCTTATATGGTACCAGAGAAGGTGTTGCAAAAGCTGTATGAAGCTAATACTTTTCCTTCTCTGAGCCAGTTGAAGACGTAGCAGTTATTTACCACTTACTCTTTGTTATTATTAATTAAAGTATATACAGCATAAAATGTTGTTAAGAATACCCCATTAACTTTGCTGATTTTCTTGCAAGTCACAGCAAAATTTTACCCACAATGTTTTACAAGCATTATACTGTATGTATCAAAGGATGCTTTTTTAATCCAAGTAGGTGTTTTATGATAGACATTTTGTTCATATTCCATCCATTCACATTAAGTGCTTTCAATCTGCACGGCTCTGATTAAATTTATATTTATTGTTTCAGCTTCTTCATCTTGACAAAAGACGAGAATATCTTTATCAGCTCCAGGAATTCTTAGTGACCGATAACAGCAGGAATTGGCGTTTTCGATATGAGCTGGCAGAGTATGTTCATGAGGTTTTGGTTTGGATTTGGATATTTTTTCTGCTATGTGGATTTTAATGTTTTCAGTTCATCGATCAATTAATCAAATTCACGAACTATTTTATAGTGGCATTTTGACACATCTTCATGTGCTCATCTACATGAGCTCACGACTTCTACAACATATACTACTTATGTCTGTGACACACTAGTAATATCTACTAATAATTTTACTCCTTATAAACTATTTTTTAAATCCTCTTTAATGTAGAATGAAAAAATTAATTGAGCACTTCCACTCAGATTGTCCAACCAGTAATTATTTTATTATGCTTGTGGGGGTGGGGAATGCCTTATACTTATTTTGATCAAATCTGTTCTACTCACTTTAATCTGAAAAGCTGTTGATCTTGTTATCTGTGCAACCAGCTTGGTCACACTGTAGCTTGCATGTACCTTGTAACATTGTTATTAGTTATACAATCTAATGAGTGCAAACTTTTTTATCTATTAATTTTCTTATCCCAGATTATTTTTGCACTCTTTTATTGATCTCACGTAGAATTAGGGTCATATTTACTGAATAAGTGGCAGATGACAGGGCTGGAATTACTCAATATTATGAGAGAAAACAATTAACATTTAGAATGGAAAATTTTCTTAGTGTATATGGATGGTTTGGTTTCTGTTATGTTAAATGGTAGGCAATGTTGTGTCAACTGTAATTTTCAAGGTTCAGGATACCTTTTTCATTTTTGATTTGTTCTGCTGTGTTATGCTTTGTTCTTTCTTTTAGGCAGCTGATCTTGCTTATAGACCTATACAGTGCCAGAGATGTTTATGACTATTTGCGCCCTATTGCCCTTAGCCTCTGTGCAGATAAGGTTTCCTCTGTTCGATGGATTTCCTACAAGCTGGTATGAGCTAAGAAACAAATTTTAATGTAAAATAATTTAAGTGAATCCAATATCTCAAACTTCTAAGTCATGGTTGGAAGTTGTTATTTTTGTATTTATGTACTGCTAACTTAACATTTCTTATAGGTTAGTGAAATGTTAAAGAAGCTGCATATGGCTTCAACATCAACTTTCATGGTAGACCTCATGAACGAACTTGTTGAAAAATTCTGCAGATGCCCAAAGTGGTCCGGTCGGCAAACATTTGTCTTTATCTGCCAGGTAAGAGCTTTTATTTATGTATTTGTTTGGGAGAGGGTGGGCAGCTAATTTCCTTATGGATTCGTCTGTATTTTCCTGAACAGTTCGTAGAAATCATTGCCAGAGAATCTTTCCTCTGTTGGGAGAAGATGGGGGGCACAATTCATGGCTTTCTTTGCTCAGCACCGCTCCATAGAAGACATCAGGAGATGCTGTAGAAATGGGGCACTTTCTTCCCTCCGCAGGAGAGTTTGATATATTACTTAGTTCCACAGTCACTCTTGCCGTCTAAATTCCCATGTTGCATACCACTGAAGTTCAGTATGCAAACTTCATGTCTTCTCCTCAGTATGTTCAGAGGATCAAAGTATGGTGTTGATGTAAAACAACAACAACAAAAAAAGTGACAGTAAAAAACTAGTCTGAATAACACCTAGGATACCTGAGTTTGGGAATAACCTTCAGCCGCTTGTTCCATGGACCGGTATGAAGTGAGCACCCTCTAGTGGTGAGTGATACAGTGCTGGCAGCTGCTTACCATTTACTGAATGATCTATTCAGGCAGCAAGGGCAAGTAGGTGTCATTTCCCACACACCCAGCTAGCATAGGTTGTTCAGAAACTGACAGAAATACCATCAAGGAAAACAAGCTGGTCTGAGCTGTGGAGGAGGAGTAGACCCCAGGTACATCTGGGGTGGCCAGTGATGGCAAAGGAGCAATCGCTCTGCCATGTGGGAAAGGGTTCCCAGAGTATGGCCCAGAAGGGATATCCACTCCCTGAGGTTTGATCTTATTTAAAGAAACTTCTGGAGATTTGGATCTGAGGGCTATTGGTAGTGTGCCCTTGTTTCCTCAGCTCCGTCCTTCCCCTCCCCGGAGCTGAGGAGAGACTTTGTCAGGATCTCTGTGAGGCAAGTCTCATGGAATTTCATGGGCCATCTCTGGTTCCCCAGTGAATTCTGCCAGCAAAGACTACCCACCTGGTTCTTAGTTCACTCCTGTTTTGTTTACTCAGCTAAATTTTGTGCTTTGTTGTTTGGTAGGGGGAGGATTACATATATGGATAAGTCTAAAAAAGAAAAGGAGTACTTGTGGCACCTTAGAGACTAACCAATTTATTTGAGCATGAGCTTCCGTGAGCTACAGCTCACTTCATCGGATGCATACCGTGGAAACTGCAGAGGACATTATATACACACAGAGATATAATGCTGTGTGTTATGACAGCTCTTTAAAATATGGGTTATGGTGCTTGAAATGGGCAGTACTTAGAAGGAAAACTGCAGCATAACATAACCCTATACTTACCACTGCATCTAATTACAGCAGTCTAAATCAGTAAGAATTTCTAAATTATCTAAGTTTTTCTCAAACATTTATTCTGCTTTATAAGGCCTCGCCTCCTACTGGGAAGTACAGTGCCCTGTATCTGTAAAGCATCTTGAGATCTGTAGATAGAAAGTGCTCTATGAATACTAAATATTCTTATATGTTGATTATTATTCAGTTGGTAGGATCCGTGAATGCTCATTGTGGTCTGTATTTGTTTTTAGCTCTCTCTTTATGGGGAGAAATCTAATGCAGTTGCTTCGTTCTGTTTGACAGACTGTCATTGAAGATGACTGCCTCCCAATGGACCAATTTGCTGTGCAACTACTGCCTCATTTACTACACTTGGCATCCGATCGGGTTCCAAATGTTAGAGTACTACTTGCAAAAACTTTAAGGCAAACCCTTCTAGAGAAAGGTTGGTGCTACTGGAGTTCAGAATGTCTTGTTTAATAGATGATGAATGTCAAAGATAACTATTGAATGTTTAACATGTCTCCTTTTTTAGTTAGTTTGCTGTAGACAAGTGGAGAAAATAGCACCAGTGTGAGAAGCCACTTATGACATTGTACTCTCCTGAACCTTACCCCCAGGGGTGGCAAGGCTTAGCCTGGACTGACCTTTGAGGCCCTGATCGTACCTGCAAGCCTGTTGACAACATCACAACTTCTAGAGCTATTCTGTAATGTTGGAGAAATGGATGGATTCATTTTCCCCCTCTTAGCCCATTTTCCTTGACCAGTTTTCCCTAAATGGGCTAGTTTTGGGAAATTAAGGATATTGCTCAGCCTGCATACTGGTGATTCACTGATGTGACGTAGAACAAATGTGTTGTGTTTGGTCTAAAAATTGATGCTGTATGCAATAAAGGCTGGGGATCAGAAAAACAGACTTCACTGCTAACCCTGTCTCTTGTCCCTCTGGGAGAGGAGAGGTGGCTAGTGCTGTTCTGTTTTCCTTTTGAGAGTGAAGGGAGAACCTTTCCAACATTTCAACAAGGGAACTGCTATTGTCAAACTGTAGACTTCCCTTAGGGAAAGCATCCCCAGTGCACAGCGGTGCCCAGAAAAAGCTAGCAATGTTAGGATGTTAAGAGTGGGGTGGAAAATAATACTGGAAATATTATGCCATTATATAAATCAGTGTTATTCTCTCATCTGGAATACTGTGTTCAGCTCTGGTCACCCTCATTTCAAAAAGACATAACAGAAATAGTTTAGAGGAGACAAATAGGACATGATAATTATGTAAAATAATGAACAATACAGAGGAGACCGTTTCAGCATTCCTATTTACCGTTTATCAATACAAGAACAAGGAGACAGCCAAATAAACTGAAGGGCATTACATTTAAAAATGATAAAAGAAGTAGAAAATTTTATGCAACACTTAATTAAGCTGTGGAACTCATGAATTCTTGTAACAGAGAGCCTTGCTTTAGTCAGAAAAGACATTTACGTGGATAATATTCATAGCTGATTTATAGTTTATTTGTATTATGGTTGCATCTAGAGGACCCAGCCCTGTTGTGTAGGCACTGTACAAATGTATAACAGTCCCTATCTCACAGATCTTACAATCTAAGTATAAAACGAGAGACAGTGGATAGATTATTCAATTTAGATTTAAAAAATAAAATTAAAAGGTATATTAATTGGTATACTTCTGGGAATAAATCAACCACAAACTGCTGTGGAAAGGGAAGATTTTTTAATACAATTGTATCATATAATTTTAAAAAAAACTGTCACATATTGGGGTTTCTTGCATGCTGTTTATTCATATTACCATTTTTATTGTGTGGTAGCATCTGTCATTAGAATGGAATAGCATGGCAGTTTATTTGTATTACCTTCCTTTAGAAATATAAACACATTGATTTTGGGACTCCTGTTCTTAGCAGGAGTTTTTCCCTTTGCACATGTTGTCTGCCACTTATTACACTGAAGGAATTTTAGGGGTCTTGTACTCCTATACCATGAGGACAACTATATTATACTTGAGTCCTCCAGCACATGTATTAATCACCCAGTATTTTGTTAGTTTGTGAATACATTTAAATTAATACATTATTTGCTTGCTTACAAGGATTGGGTGTGACTGTAGTTAGAGTAGATATTGCCCTAATATTTAATGTCATGAATCAGTATCTGCCTACAGCATAAGGATTAAACTAAAATATCCAAAAACTTTGATTTGTTAATACAGAATTTCAGTCTCACTGATAGCCTTTCCGTATTAAAACAGAAGCCTCTGTTTGCCCTTGATGTAGAAGCGTGCTCATGTTTTTGAATATAACACTGTAGCATAGTAGCTGGGTTTTGCACCAAAATATAATATTGTTACTCTTATTTTTCTTATATATCTCGTGTATTCTCCATTATTTACAGAATATTTTCTGAATTCTGCCAATTCTCATCAAGAAGTTGTGGAACAGACAATTATGGCCCTTCAAATGGATGATGACAATGATGTCAAATATTTTGCAAGCATACACCCTGCCAGTACCAAAATTGCAGATGATGCCATGAGCACTGCTTCATCGACTTATTAAAAGAAGTTTCTGAATAGTACTATAATTTTAATAAAAAACAAACAAAACGCAAACTATCCTCAAATGCTCCTAAAATGGATGATTTAGGACAACCTCTTCCAAAGGAGGAGAGATCTCTTGCCGGACTTAACTACGGGTGGATGTTATCTAAACCTGATACCAGGGATGTTAAGAGTCAAGAAAAAGTAAACGTTACCTATCTCATCTTGACTTTAGAAAAACATTGCTCAGAGGATTATATTTGCCACTGAAGCCTTAAATCGTCTGTCTTCCTGAACAAATGAAACTTGAATTGGCAGAGCATTTTCATTGTAGAAGAGATGTGATTTCCAGAGACTTGCGTTGTTTCTCCTGAGGAGTTAACTTAGCAAGTTTTTTCCTTAGCAACTGATAGTTCAAATTCTTATAGCCAGAGAGGCAGATTTATATCCAGATGTAAGACCTCCAGTATTAGCTATAAAAGTTTTTATCCATGCAAAGAACCTGATTGTGTGCAGCTGGGCACATCCTTAAGTCTGAATAGTTTTGATGTGTGTAAATGGGGAACAGTAGAAATTTGGATTTCTCTTAAGGGCTCAGTGGTAACACTAAACTAGAATCTGATTTTAATCTTTAAATGCAGCATATTGCTGTACCCATTAGCAGAAAACTTTGCTGAGTACCTGTGTCCTAATTATTTTCATGCTGGTCATGACCTGAAGGAAATTTATTAGCACATGTACTTTAAGTCAGGTATTTTTAACTTGATCATGATCGGCTCTGAGGTGCAACTTTTTCTTCATATACTGTACATATCTGTGACCACTCTTGGGAGTGCTGCAGTCTTTAATCATGTTGTTTAAAAATGTTGTGATACAAGTTGTTCTCTACTTGTCCAAATAAAATTTATTAATAAGATTGAATACGTTGTGACCTTTTAAAGATATTAAAAGAACAATTTTGAAATGATTTCGTGTCCTTCCTTTTCTAGTTCTTGCATGGATTTCTGTAAATATCATTTATATTTGAATGACTTTTTCCAGAGGGATTTTAATGTAAAACTTAAGATTTATATTTAGAAAAGAAATATACCACAACACAAAAATACAGTGGTCAAGTTAGCTTACAAAAGTACAGAAACACTTTTTTAAAAAATTGGTGAAATAATAGGGTGAGGAGTTCGTAAGTGAATCTTTATCAAGAATCTCTTTACTCATTCTTGGGAGCTTATTGGCTCTCCTATCACCCAAATGCAGAATGACATCTTAGCTGTAGGGAACTTGGACTATCACCTCAACCCAGATTTTCAGGGACCAGATTGATCAAAATTCCTTCATCTAGCTGAATACAGTATCTAGGGTTACTAAGAAATCCACTCTGTCCTTTGGATATCTACTCATTCTCCTCATAAAAAAGCTAACTTCAGTGTCTGAGGAGATGAAATCTTCCCTTGTGTCTTTTATGGGACTTCTGCTTATAGCTCCTCTCTTCCCACCCACCATAGTGGAGACTGAGGTGGGTGAAGCTTGTTCTTCTGATGTAATAGAAGTAGTTACTGCAGCTTCTTAAAAGGTTTCTGCAGAATGCTGGAATTATGGTACCTTATAAATCATATGGCTAATATCTTGAAAATTTAACCCCAAAGCAGGGGTACAGGAACTACGAGTGCTGGAGCTTGAAGTGGTTTCCATCGTATACAGGGTTTACACTTTTGTTCAGTGGCTTTCAGCACCCCCACTATAAAAATTGTTCCAATGCACTGTGAGCAGCATGTGCATCATCCCTCCCTATCTTGGGAGATTCTTTTGTTGAAAAGATCTTTCCAGTTCTGGCTTCTGTAAGTAAAATAGTATTAGCTGCATGGCTCTCTCCCAGATTCTAGAATCCTTCTGCTTCCCCGACCGTGTAGACATGCTTATGACACCCAAGAGGCCTGCTGTCTGCTCCTAAGATTGACCCTGGCATAGCTTCAGGTACCAAGTCGTCTTTCATTTGTCTTGAAGCTAGTTTCTCCTGAAAATGACCTTGGGAGGAAAATGGAATAAGTATTCATGAGGAATTTTAAAGCAGAAGTCTGCTTATATTTTCAGAGTCTCTGTGGAATAGACACTAGCACTTTAGCCAGATTTTCTGTTCATCTTGTCTCATGAATAGACTAGCAGAAGTCTTGTACAAGTTCCAGATCTCTCTTAATTCACTTTGTGATGTTGCACAGGATGATACCAAGCTGTCTGAAAATACTATGAGCTCCTCATTGATGGGCTGTAGCTGTGATCTGGGGACATACAGAGACTAAATTGGTGGAGAACGATGGGGAAAGGTACTCTCCCAAGCTCTGCTCGCAGACCAACATCTCCCACTTGAGAAAAATGAGATGCAACCAAGTAGATTATGCAGATTTTCATATGATAATCCTTGCTTGCTGTCCGCAGCTTAGTGACATTTAAATTACCATTAGGACAGTGGTTTTGAATCTTTTTTTCATTTGCGAACCCCTAAAAAATTCAAATGGAGGTATGGACCCCTTTGAAAATCTTAGGCATGGTCTGTGGACACCCAGGGATCCGTGGACCACAAGTTGACAACCACTGCATTTGGATACAGGGTTAACATCACATTGAGATGAATAGATACAGTTTTCACCTTTTTTAGACTGCAGACTCTGGCAGAAATCCATATCAGATAATTTTCAAATTGTGATTAGATTGTAATCTTCAGTAAGCAGGGTTGGAGACTTTACATCAAATCTTAGGTTTTGGAGTACAAAACAGCAGCCTCCCCATAAAAAACCAAACACACAAACATATCTCATCGAGCTGCCATGAGCAAACTTAATTCCACTTCTTCTTCTCCTCCCAAAGCATCTTGACAGACATGGGGAGCAGTACAGTATTGCCATCCATTCCTGTCCACAGCTTGTTCCTCCATTAAGCCCAGTCTGGTTATGTCTCTGCATATGATGCCCTGCCATCTAGTTGATGGTCAGCCTCTAGGTCTGTCTGACCTTGGTTGCGTTTGCATTATTTTCTTTGGCATCCTGTCATCTGTTTTTGTTTTCTACAGTACTCCACCATTGTAATCTTTTTTGATTGCAGCCAGTTCTATACCCTGATATCTCACACTACTCGTTTTAACATCATTTGTCTTAAAATCATTCTACTTTACACCTGCCATCTTCCAAATAGCTCATCCCTACTGTCTCCAGCCACCTGTTTCAGTGAAACTACTTCCAGACTGTAGAGACACACTGTTAGTACACTCGTTTGCTAAATTTTCACTTTGGTACCAAACATAATGCTTTTTAGTCCATAATGTTATTAACTTCCGTGCAGCATATGTAGTTAAAACATGTCTCCTTTTAACCTCATCCTTGATGGAACCATTGGCACTGATCAAGCTTCCTTGATACTCACAAGATTGTACTTATTCTATGAGTTCACTGCTGCATTTCAACACTTTGTCCTTTTTCCAAGGTACAACCAATGTAATGGCTATTCATGGGTATTAGAATATGACTGGACTGCCGGCGCCGTGGCCACTGCAGTGGCAACCCCCAACTTAGTGGCCCTTCTGGACACCCTGGGCATATCATCGGAGCCAGGGACAGAACCAGGGGTCGAGGCCCAGATCTGCATTGGTATCGTCGGCGTCCTTCGTTCCTCTGCAGGCACTGCCAGCAGCGGCGCCACCAACGCCCCTCCCTTCGCCTGCAGTGCCGGCGACTGCAGTGGTGACCTCGGCACTGCCAGCATCAGCAACCTCGGCACTGACTACCTCGGCACCCATGATCTCGGTTCCGGCAGCCCTGGCACCGCAGGCTGCTGATGTGGCGGCACAGCAATACTGGGTGCCTCGTGACCCCATGGATGCGAGGGGAGTGAGCAGGGCTCATTGCCAGGACTTTCCTCCCCAGATGAGACCATGGCAGGGACATGGACAGCCCCGGCCTTGGAAGACAACAGGGTCCTACAACAGCTGCTGTGACGGGTGGCCCAGAACCTGGGGATCCAGGCAGAGGTGGTGGTAGAGGAGGCCGACCCTACTGTGCTGAGACCACAAAGACGGTCTGGTAGACCCCGGCCTCTTTGCCCCCTATGTCCAAGAGAAATGAAAGATGGTACTTTGTCCCCTCAAGGGCATATGAACACTTATATACCCACCCACCCCTCCGATTCCCCGGTGGTTGATGCAGCTAATCAGTGTGTGCAGCAGGGCTACCAGGGGCTCTCCGCTAAAAATAGGGATGGTAAAAAAACTAGACCTGTTTGTGAGGAAGGTCTACTCCACCGGTGGTCTGCAGCTCCGCATATTGAACCAGCAGGCCATCGTGAGCAGATACTTGTATAATACCTGCGGTGTGATGGCCAAGTTTGCAGCTGACGCAGGACTCCCCATGTGGAGTTCTCTGCACTGGTGGAGGAAGGGAAACTAATTTCACGAGCTTCCCTACAGGCTGTATTGGACAAGGCAGATGCTGCCTCCTGCGCAATGGCCACAGGGGTGGCAATGAGGAGGAGTTCCTGGTTGCAGGTCTCAGGTCTTCCCCACAAGGTCCAAAAGACCATTCAGGACCTTCCCTTTGAGCGTTCGGACCTCTTTTCCAACAAAACGGATAAAGGACTCCACAGTCTAAAGGACTCGAGGGTGCCCCTCAAGTCCTTGGGCCTCCACACTCCTGCGACTCAGCACAGGCACTTTGAGCCACAGCCTTCCTCACGGTTCTACCAACCACAGAACTGGCAGGATGCTCCTCAGAGGAGGAATAGAAGCAGCAGAAAAAGACCGCACCAGTCCTCGGGCTCAGACACCCAAACA